TATATATATATATATATATACATATATATATTTATTAAAAAATTAACTGTGAAATTAGAGCAACTAGCAAGTTATACGAAATGAAGTGAAGAATTATGATCCTTGAATCATTCTATTTCCTATATCCACTTGCTTGCTTTGCTTCTACTTTCCTTCCCTACATATGGACATGGAGATGGGCTTTGCAGGAGATTCCGCGTGGTCGCCAGAACTTAGCAGTTACAATCAACATCTTACTATGGAGCTGGGGGCCAGATATGAGATACGCAGCGTTGCTACGCGAGGGCGGGCTTATACTAAAGAATACGTGACAGAATATCTTATCCAATATTCTGATGATGGTCAATCATGGAGCAATTTTGAAAATCAGGACGGTGTAGATGAGGTATTAATTTCACGGAGTGTAAAATTGCTCTACTCTCACGTATATGAAAGTATAGTTTGAATTGTTTACAAACTTTTTATAAGTCGTTATTTGTGTTTGAGAACAGTTTTGTGTAATGTCAAATGTAGTATTAATATATTTAGAGCTATTTGCAACATTGTACAATAATATTGCTAATAGTCTTTTTCTTATTTAAAAACTTTTCTGACAACATATATTCCGATAAAATAAATAAGTTTACCTTTGATATTTTCTTTTTATTCTTTCGTAATGTATTTTGATAGTTAGCATGTTATACGGTATTTTTTACTCTTATTGTATTATGGTGTTTCGTAAGAGTATCGTAGAAATTCCATTAAACTTTCCACTGTGAAAACTTATATGTTTTGAGAGATACTATTTGGAATCTTCTGTTCTAATAATTGCTTTATTGCAGTTTGAAGATTTGAAATTAATAGTGCCATATAATAATATTGAAAGAACTCATTAATAGAACTCGTATGTTTGTAAATTTAAAGAAGCGCTGCTTGCTAGCACTGCTAAAATTTGAGAAAATCGTAAAACAAACTTACGATATTCTAAGAAAACTGTTAATAAGTTATCCCAATACCATTCGATATTTAATGCAGTTTATTCATTTATTTCAAAAAAATCTATGTATGGAATTTATGCTAGAAATAGATAATAAAGAAATAGCAATAAAATATATATAATTAATAGGAAAAAATCAATATCTTCCGAATTTGATTTATCACGATGGCACCATATGTACGTTGATAATATTTTGGGATTATAATATATTTGCTCTTAATATTAGCATCTCTTTCACCATTAACAGTCTAGCTACACTAATATACACATTTGTGCACAATTAATAATATTTAAAGAATTTGCAAATTTCAAGTCATCTATCGATCATTTGTCTGATTAATGAATGCACATAATATATGGTTAAATCAGTTTAAATTGATTTGAAAATTTCTAAATAATATTGGTAGATTGAAACGTTAACAATCTCTAGACAATTCTCCACTCTTGACAGATACTTTTGTATTTTTATTAAGATTTATTTTCAACTTGAAGCATGCACGCCATTTAATTATATTCTGCATGATTGTGGCTTTAATTATGAAGCGAGACTGAGATAATAAATGGGAAATATCGATTTAGTGATATAGCACCTAAAACTTTGTCTTTTTTCTGTAGATGTTTAAAGGTAATAAAGATGGAAATAGCTTGAAGCTTAACAAGTTTGAGATACCAATAATCGCGCAATGGATAAGAATAAATCCAACGCGATGGCAAGACAGGATATCGCTGAGAGTCGAACTCTACGGATGCGACTACGGTACGAAATACCGAATTACACACCTGTTTCTCTTTTAAGATCGTGCACAAATCCAGATGATAAATCTTCTGCTTTATTTCAGTGTCTGATATTGCTTCCTTCAACGGATCCTCTCTCATACGTATGGATCTACTTAGAGAACCTATCGAAACCGATAGGCATAGTATACGTTTCCGTTTTAAAACCACCAACGCCGACGGTGTGCTAATGTATTCTCGTGGCACGCAAGGCGACTATATAGCCTTGCAATTACGCGACAATCGAATGCTGCTCAACCTCGATCTCGGATCCGGCATTATGACGAGTCTGTCCGTTGGCAGTCTTCTGGACGACAATATGTGGCACGATGTTGTATTCTCCCGCAATAGGAAAGATATTTCGTTCTCCGTCGACAGAGTGTTGATCCGAGGTAGAGTAAAGGGACAGTTTCACCGATTGGACTTGAATCAACACGTGAGTGGGGTTTTTTTTTTTTAACAGAAGTGATTTTCCAAATAATGATGCTTGGATTCATTTGGAATCAATATTTCTTCCAGTTTTACATCGGCGGCGTGCCTAACAAGCAGGACGGTTTAGTGGTGAATCAGAATTTCACGGGCTGCATAGAAAACTTTTATCTCAACACGACGAATATAATTCACGAACTGAAGGAGTCGGAGATCGTGGGTGAAAATTTGAAGTATTTCAAGGCTCATACGTACTACGGCTGTCCGGAACCTCTAATAATACCCGTCACGTTTCTGACTCCCGGATCCTACGCTAGGTTGAAAGGGTACGAGGGCGTGCCGTCTCTCAACATCTCTCTCGCGTTCCGAACGTACGAGGAGCGAGGAATAATTATTTACCATCAATTCCGGAGTCCGGGCTACGTCAAGGTTGTGCACAATCTCCATTTCGTTCCATGATTCTTTATAAAAATAGAGGCAACTAAATTTATTTCTTTTTTTTTTTGTGTGTAGCTGTTCCTGGAAGAAGGTAAATTGAAGGTCGACATAAAAACAGCGGATAACCCAGCTGTGATTCTGGACAACTTTTACGAAAAGTTCAACGATGGAAAGTGGCATCAGGTGATTTTGACGATTGCGACAAATTCTCTCGTCTTGAATGTCGACGGCAGGCCGATGAAAACGGAGCGCAAGCTGTCAATGTCGACTGGATCATTTTACATGATCGGCGGTATGACCGGAGAGGGAAGCAACTACGGGTTCGTCGGCTGCATGAGAATGATAAGTGTCGACGGCAATTATAAATTACCTACCGACTGGAAGGAAGAGGAGTATTGCTGCAAGAACGAGATTGTGTTCGACACTTGTCGAATGGCGGACCGTTGCAATCCAAATCCTTGCAAGCACAATGGTGTCTGCTATCAAAACTCTGATGAATTCTTCTGCGAGTGTGCCAATACCGGATACGCGGGCGCAGTTTGTCACACCTGTAAGTATACACTGTGCATTAGTACAAAACGTGGAAATATTTGTGGTGAAGAATTTAACGGAGTTTTACTTGCGCAGCACTAAATCCTCTCTCGTGCGAGGCCTACAAGAATATGAATCCGGTAAATCAGAAAGCGGAGATCACGGTCGACGTCGACGGCAGCGGGCCGCTAAAGCCGTTCCCCGTCACTTGCGAATTCTTCACCGATGACCGCGTGATGACGGTTTTACATCACAGCAATGAACAAGTCACTCCCGTCGATGGTTTCGAGGAGCCTGGTAGCTTCATACAGGAAATTAATTACGACGCTGATTTCGATCAAATTGAGGCTCTACTAAACCGATCTATAAGCTGCAGGCAGAGGATAAATTACGCGTGCAAGCATTCCAAATTATTTAACTCGCCAGGTAAATTGCCTTTAAATATTCGCAATCTCTGTAAAATATCTCTTGAATATACTGAATCTCTTATTTACCTCTGTGCGAATCTTCGTTTTCAGTTTCTCAAGGAGATCATTTCAGACCAAACTCGTGGTGGGTGAGTCGCAACAATCAGAAGATGGATTATTGGGGCGGCGCGTTGCCCGGGTCGCGAAAATGCGAATGTGGTATATACGCAAATTGCGGGGACCCCACCAAGTGGTGCAACTGCGATTCCGGCTTGGAGGGATGGTTGGAAGACGGCGGGGATATCACGGAGAAGGAGCATCTCCCCGTGAAACAATTGCGTTTCGGTGACACGGGTACGCCGCTCGACGACAAGGAGGGTCGTTATACGTTAGGTCCGCTCATTTGCGAAGGCGACGGTAAGTTTGTATCTCTGTTTTCTGTACGTGTACAGAAACGGAGCGAGTTAGTGAAATAAAATTGAAACAAATGTCACACGTACCGTCATCTTTTCACAGATTTGTTCAAGAACATGGTCACATTCCGTATAGCCGATTCCACCATAAATCTACCGACGTTTGACATCGGCCACAGCGGTGATATTTACTTCGAGTTCAAAACCACTACTTTGGACGCCGTGATAATTCACAGCAAGGGTCCCAACGATTACATCAAGGTCTCCATAACCACCGGAAATCAATTAACCTTCCAGTATGTGGCCGGTGGAGGACCGCTCACCGTTACCGTGCAGACGTCCTACAATTTGGCTGATAACAAGTGGCACTCCGTGTCGGTGGAAAGAAATCGCAAGGAGGCGCGCATCGTCATCGACGGGGCGCTGAAGAACGAAGTGCGAGAACCTCCGGGCCCTGTGCGAGCGATTCATCTCACCTCCGATTTCGTGGTGGGCGCCACGACTGATTACAGGGACGGATTTGTCGGTTGCATAAGAGCGCTGCTTCTCAACGGGCAATTGCAAGATTTAAGAAGTTACGCCCGACGCGGATTGTACGGCATCACAGAAGATTGCGTCGGCAGGTGCGAAAGTAGTCCTTGCCTTAATAACGGCACGTGCCACGAGAGATACGACGGATACTGGTGCGACTGTCGATGGACCGCGTTCAAAGGACCGATTTGTGCAGATGGTGAGTAAAAAAAAAGAATATTAATATTACTGAGTTGATCGGAAAGTTTCTACGGATTTTTTTTTTTAATAAAAGGCAAAAATCCAAAGAACTTTCGGATTAACTCAACAAAAAAAAAGAGTTTTAAATGTGAATGTTAATATAATGATCGTACCAACCTGAGTTTCATTCGTTACTTTCAGAAATTGGTGTGACTATGCGATCCAGCTCAATGATAAAGTACGACTTCATGGGCACCTGGCGTTCCACTATTTCTGAAAATATACGCATTGGTTTTACAACGACGAACCCGAGAGGGTTTTTGATGGGCCTATTTTCCAATATCTCGGGAGAGTATATGGTTATAATGATTTCAAACAGCGGCAGCTTACGCGTGGTATTCGATTTCGGCTTCGAGCGGCAGGATGTAGTGTATGGCGGCCAAGAGACTAATAATCTCGGCACGGGACAATATCACGACATCAAAATCAGTAGAAGGAACTCCGGCTCCACTCTGGTGATACAGGTCGATGATTACGAGGAGCAAACTGTTCATTATGACATAAAGCATTCCGCGGACGCGCAATTCAACAATATCCAATACATGTACATCGGCAGGAACGAAACTATGTCGGCGGGATTCGTGGGTTGCATATCGCGAATCGAATTCGACGATATATACCCGCTGAAGTTACTCTTCCAAGAGAACGGACCCGGTAACGTGCGCTCGATCGGTTCTACCGTGACCGAAGACTATTGCGGCATCGAACCGATCACGCATCCGCCTGATATCGTGGAGACGCGACCGCCGCCGGAATTGGACGAAGAAAAACTCAGAGCCGCGTACAATGAGACTGACACGGCCATTTTGGGCAGTGTACTAGCAATTCTTCTGATCGCGGTTGTGATCATGATTATTCTTATAGGTAGATATATGTCTAGACATAAAGGAGAGTATTTAACGCAAGAAGACAAGGGTGCTGAGATAGCCTTAGACCCGGACTCAGCGGTTGTAAACTCCGCCACTGGTCATCAAGTTCAGAAAAAGAAAGAGTGGTTTATCTGAAACGTCGAAATGTAAGCGAGAAAAGTAATACGTACATTTTAATTTAATCTAAAATACTATAAACATCTTTGTAAGAGTAAAAATATCTCTTTTGCCCCCGTTCAACTATTATTTTTCTTTCTTGCGTTAGATAATGTTAACGATCAGAAGCTGTTATTTTATATTTTTTAACGTGATTAGTCTCGCAATATTTGGCCACCGAAATCTCTTACAAATTTCTTTAAATATGATTATAACGAATGATTTCCTTCAGTTTTGTGATACGGTCATATTTATCGTGTGCCAATGAGAAAAAAATTTAAATAGTTACGGCACAATTAACATGGTGGTAAATTATATATAAATTTTTATAATCGGGTATAAAAGAGTTTTATGTAATATAAATAGAGATTACCATGTACAAAGCCATTTTAACTATCAAAGCTATCTTACTGGCAAATAAATTACTTACGTTTCTGTTTTTATTCTTTCTGTTTTATAACGATTCACAGTATTAGTTGTAACGTTCACCGTCCAAAGTGCATTTTAAACTTCTTTTAGATTTATTTTTTATTTTTACTTGTTTATGATTATATTTTACAGATGTTTACTTTTTTACGTGTAGATCTGTAACGTCACCGTAGTAATTTAATATTAATATAATATTAAGAACGATAATTGTAATGATAACAGTAACAAGAAATGATAATAATATAACAATAATGATAATAATTACTATATACTACAAGCATGTAATACACCATGAAAGTGTACATAAGTCATTTTTATACGAATAGCACATTCGTTATTTCTTACTATTAAATCAATATCTTGTACAACGATTTCTAAACAACCATGAAAACAAAGATGCATGTCGCGCTTTCGAATGAACAAATTGCTAAAATGATACTCAGGCTTGAAGAGAACGATAATAATCTCAATGAATCTCAATATATATCTTTTTTTATATAAAGAACAAAATTGAATTAAATAAATCATCTATGAACTTCTACTCTTGCATTGTTTTTTACCTGGATACTTTTCAATGCGCACACACACACACACATTGAGTTCCAAAAAGTTCCAAAAACAAGTAACTATTGAACTCGTATGATCAGCTATTTAGATCCCGAATGTTCTTTCAGCTATAAATAATCTTTTTAATTACTTACCGGTGTCGAGGATTAGGTGGGAAATTATTATTTATGTTTCACTTGGCAGATTTGTCTCATCAGCAACTGTTGCGAGTAGCGCAAAATAATCACGTAATTAATTAAGTTTCAGCCATCACCGTTTGCGCTGGAAAAGCTCGCGTACGGACGTTACGAATGTATTTCGGAATTTTTTTAATCTGCAAAAGCACAAGTGTGAAAGAAGTTGAGTAAAATAATGCTGTGCGAGTGAATATTCAGGCACGTAAGCTGTATTTACACGTATACTCAAAAACAATTGGTCGAAATGTTAAAATACAATAACCTTTGTAAAAGAATTACCTTCAGCAATGTCGACTTTTTCACGTGTGCCTCCTTGATATCTATATTTTCATCTATTTGATACTTGAAAGATAATATCGCCGGAGCAGTCTATAAATGTACATACAAAAATGTCTCTTGTTCTAAGAAGAAGTCAAGAATCTCTGTGCGTATTTAATAAAAGTGTCTATTTTTAATATCACTCGTGTTCCAAATTGTTCTATCGTGTGTTTCCACACACAGCGGCGTAACGCAATTATATAAATATTATATCATCTTTCACGTGTGCCCATCATGTGATCGTCAAATCTGAATATACTTACTGCAAAATGTGATCAAATAACAATTCGTTACGTCGAATATGAGTGAATCGAGCCGAGAAGCTACTTTACCTTCTCAATTGTAAATTGAAGTTCAAAATAAAATTTGTGAATAAAGTTTGCAACAAGAAACTCTCTGGGATGGTTCAGTTGTACATAGCATGTTCCAAATAAATTCATTGACGTTTAATCAACTGAAACAAAAATTAATTAACGCAAATTAATAGAAATAGCGAATTTTGTTGAGTCGTGCTATTTTTCGAACACGCTTCGTGTAACATTGAAATCAATTTCAGTATTTTCTCTCGTTCTACAACTTCTAAAATAAACGCTATGAAAACATAAAGATTACTCATCTTATGAAAATCATTCCGCAACAAAATATGATACAAAATATTCCAAATAACCGCACTCACGCGGACTGCGTTAGCAGTGATTGCGCTTGCTCAGTTATATTTAACGCGATGCAAGGATGCTGCTTTCTCTCACTTGCTGCCGATATATATCACATGTATAATAAAATTGCGAATTCTAGATATCATGATATCTCTTGAGCGTCACGTCAGATCACGTCGAACACGCACGGTGAGAATACGCATAAGTTTTCAATTGGCTCCATATTTACGCAGATATCTCTGAAAAGTCAACATATATATAATAATTTATTCATTATATTACAATAAATCGTTCTACATAATGAAGAAGAGAGCGATTGTTGCAGCGCGGTCGACGCATCGGATGCGTCGCGGCGCGCTGCCGAGTCCGACGACTCGGGAGAAAAGGGACGGCGAGGGAAAAACCTGCCGATCCAACGCGGATCGCTCGCCGGTGATCGTGATAGCGATGAAACAGCGTATCACTGATATGCACGAGGGAGAGGACTTTGGGTTTTTAATTACAGTCGCTTAAGTACACGTGGTTCCGCGTACGGATGGTGGAATCTCTACGGTTGGGACCACTAGGACGTCGAAGTGTACCAGCCGTTCGCCGTCGACTTGTTGCTCGGATGATAGATGTGGAAGCCGGCGCTGCCGGCTGGATGATGATAGAACTGCGGTTGTTCCGTCAAACCCGCCGAGGCGTACGCCGCCGCGGCGTCTAAGGCACTCGGATGAACAGTAGCCGAGTACACCTGGGGTTTCAAAGGTAACGGCTGCGCCGGTTCGTATTGATGACGGAGAACGGGATCGGCGTACGCCGACGAGCCCTCGTAGCTGCTTATCACATTCACGGGATGCAATTGCTGCTGCTGCTGTTGCTGCTGCTGCTGCTGCTGCTGCTGTTGCTGTTGCTGCTGCTGCTGCTGCTGCTGCTGCTGCTGCTGCTGCTTGTCTCGTGGCGAGACCGACGATGGCGGAGTCATCGCCGAGTGATAGTCCACCGAGTAGCCAGCCGCGGTAGCTGTCGTGTACGATGAAACTAGACTGGTGAAAGCGTCGGCGCAGCTAGTGCCGTTAGATCCCTTTTGATTGTGCGCGGCGAGCACAAACTGATGTTCGCCGTATGTGCTGGAGCCTTCGGAACCCGGCGGTGTGGGCAGAGGTCCATTTGGAGCAGTCTCGCCGGGGTAATAGATGCCGGCCGACGTGGGAGCGCGCGAACCGCCGCTCGACGTGATTCCATGCACGTTGGCGCGTATCACGCTCTCCCGGTTGGCGGCGTAAAGTTGCCTGAGGAGCGCGGAGGCGGGCAAAGGAGCGGCGGCGGATTGCTGCGGGCTCAGGTGGCCGAGATGATGGTGCGCGCCGATCCACTGTATCGTGCTCCGCTGTTGCTGCTGCTTGAGCAGCGCGTCCGTGCTGAAGTCCGTCGGTTGGTGAAGCGTCGCGGGCGAGTTGGATTTGTTCAACGAGCTGCCCGGCAGGTGCTTGGACATCGCCTGCTCGAGATCCTTCACCGACGTCCCCGTGCTCTCGGCGCCGTTGTCCATCCTGCCGCTCTCGGCGCGACGGGGCGCCTTCGGGCTGGTCGCGCAGAGAGTCTGCTCGGTCGTCGAGATCGAGTGTGTGGACGTCGCGCTCGGACTGAGGGCGCGCGACCTCTCGCTATTCGTCTCCTTCACCGCGGCCTCCTCCTCGTCCTCCTCCTCGTTCGAGCTGCTGTCGTCGTCGTGGATTTTCCGCTTGTGGCCGCGCAGTCTCACCACGAGCGTGCTGATATTCCCGACGGCCGTCTGCGACTCCTGCTGCAGCTGGGCGATATTGTCGTGATGCCGACTCCCGCGCTTCTCGCTCTCCGACCCGTGGCTCTCCTCTCGCTCCTCAGGCGGCGACCGGTGAGACTGTTCCTGATGCTGATTCGCAGGGCCGCCTCGACTACGACCCTCTGAAATCAAAAGTCGCAACGCATATCGCTTCAAGATGGAGAACACGAGAACTCCACGCGCACGTACGCCCGTAGAAATGGCACTCTTCGCTAAATCAAAGAATGTTTTGTACCTCCTCTGTCGGCGTCCGGCGATCCATTCTCCGGATCATTTCCGGCCGTGTCCTCCCGCTTCACGCCGGTGATGCCGTCCTCCAGCTGACAGCAGTCCATAATTAAGTTTTCGTATTCTCGCCCGCTGCAACAGACACGCGTCTGGTTAGATTTGAAGTCACTTGACGGAAAATGATTCGTAAATCTTTTCGGCGACTCACCTTATAACATAATTGACGCAAATGATATTTTGCTCCTCGTTCGTTTTCGTATTGCACACGACGGTGGCGCACGTCTGCAGCCACGTGTATCCACCGCTTTTGTTCATCAGTCGATAGTAATGTGTCAGTACTTGTCCCTTATTGATCACTGAAATTAATCGTAGCTATACGTTTCTCAAAGACATCGGATTTCTCTACAGAAATAAATTCATTGCAAATGTGAGTTCGTCAATCTTTCCATGCGCCTTTCGAAACTGCACTGCAATTAGCGTCGAAGCTACCGTTTGTACGACGATGAGGAAGAGAAAGAAGCATTCCATATACTTGCGAATGCGGATCTTAATCAATCGTTCGGGGTGCATATGTTCGATTCTATCTCTGTATAATGCTCTTAGAAGTGGCGTTTGCAGCCTCGTCGTGCAGGAGATAAGAGCGTTCCGTCGGGATAATTTTCTTGTTAAGCCGATTGGAATAAGATGATTATCGACAATTTTTTCCGTCTTTGACAATGTGCTGCTTTGTGTCGGGAAATATCTTGTCGCTGTCCGAGGGATCGAGCCATGTTAGAACGCGACGACGTTCATTGAGGAATCAAGTGCTCTCGTTACTTTCGTTACCGTGCGTTATCTCGAAAACAATCAATGAAAGAGAGAGAAGGAGCGATATTCATACATTATCCCCATGCCTGAGTGGCTAAATGTCTGATCTGAAACGTTCAAATACAAACAGATACGTACTTACTAAATCAGCAAGCGGTCGCGCGCAGTCGAAAAGACCAACGTATTAATACTTTCTCTCTTCCCGGACAGCTTTGACACCCACCGCGTTCTTTCACCACAAGTATTTCCCTAGAACAATAGGAGCAAGAAATTCTGCGTGGCAGATCTATCGACCTTGTTGATTGGAAAAACGTATGCATATGAATAACGTTATCGTTAACCGCTCTACTTTCGTCAAATGTTTTCTCGAATGCGACGAAGATGAAAGCGAATTTATTTTATACATAAAACATTGAATTGCGACATTAGAATGTTGATTCTTATTGACTGATTTGATTTAGCGGTCCGACATTATCACGTTCGATAGAGTCAAAGAGATCCTTCGACGTTAATCTTTGCTCCACGCGAATTTAATCCTCGATCCTTCACACATCTCTGTTACGATTCCTCCCCGACTTACTTCTCCTTGCAAATTTCGCAACTTATCTTGCATCTTTGCAGTTATTATTTCTTTCCTTCGTGTGTTTTTTTATCGCCCCTTATTTATTCTTTACTTCGTAAGCTTCTATCTCTTTTATTATTCATTCGGACGCATGTATCGCATCCTCGCAGACTATTGGCAATCGCTGTGGAAAAGCACATCGTCGTATGCATCGAGAATACTGATAAAAAGTTATATCCACAGTTCTCTAATCATTGGCTACACTGATGACTTAATTACGTATTATAATGGCGATGCAATTTAGAGTCACAAGTTCATTAAGCGCGCGTACGCGACTGTCGTTCGAACTGTAATTCGTAATGCGTGCATTCTTCCGAACATTACACAGAATATATTCGGGAAGCGCGATGAAAAGCACTCGTGTGACTTTACGCGATCGTGCAAACGGTATTCGGCGACTTTGTTTACGACGGCGAATATAATTCATGATATACTCACGATCCACGTGAGACTTCCGAAGGCGATGCGCGTCTTCACCGTGGCACAGCGTATACAGGTTCTTCCCCGTCAACTCGTCGGCCGTGTAGTCCAGCAACTCGGAAACCCTGAAGATACGAATTATATTGCTCCTATTGTAAACAGCCATTTACAGATTTGTCCGTGTGTGCGCGTAAAAGCGAAAATCCGCGCTACGTTCTCGTATTTAATCGTGCACGAAAAAAAAAATTTACTGGCGCAGTAAATGCTATAGTAGCAAAATATATTATTTATTATATGACAGTAAAAGAGATTTATCACGGACACTAATTTTATTTACTGAAAATAATTTGGCAAATTATATCGCTATTGTAACAAATTAATTTTCATCGTGCCATCAAAATTTGTGCTAGCAGCGACAATTTCGCTGCAAAATGCATTTGTTAGAAATTATTTTGTTCTAGCAGCAAATTAATGTGTTTTTTACGAATAAATGTAGTCGGCAAAGATTATTTACTCTGCCAACAAAACAGATTTTGCTAATATATCGAAAAATTAGTTACGACAGCGAAATTTTGTTGATTTCGCTGCAATAGCAGAATTCTACTTTTCTCGTATGTGAATCAATGTGTGCAAACAATACTCACTTTGGTTCGCAGTGTGCTATCCGGAAGTCGAAATTGATGCGTGTGACGAACATGTCGGTCTCGAGACGAATTTCGTGTACGCTCGGCGGCGGAAGCGCAATCGCCAATCCGACCATGCCCATCAAAGGCGGCGCGGACTTTCTCGTATGGCTAAATGTGAATTGCGGCCTCAAACGACACAGCAATAGTACGACCTGCGTACGCGTGTGCAGAAATACAAAATTAATTTATAGATCTCACAGTTCTACCGTTGTGCATGAAACGGCATCGACTGACTTTCTGCGAAGAATCACTGAGCGAGTTCGCTTACCCGATAACCCGACGATTGTTTGAAGTGGCACCCCCTTTTCGTCAGGGTGGATTTCATCCTAACGCAAAACGCTCGATCGAACCCCTTGTAGAGTCCGGTCGACGACAACGACATTACCGAGGACACTGAAGACACAGACATGCATTAGGAAATTGAGTTTCATCGAACTTTTTCGAATATCTACGCTGTATTATGTCGAATGGTATAAACGCGCATTCGTACGATGGCGCGAGGAGTTACCGTCGGGATTCGCGGTAGAAGACGAACCATGCTCCTCCGACGCGCCGCTGCTCGGCGAGGCGAGGCCGGAATTCGACGAGTGCGCGCCTGAGGTACTCGAGGACGACGACGTGAGGCCCAGGCCGAGCTGCTCGGCGACCTCGGCGTGATCGAGCTGATGGACGTAATCGAAGACACTCGACCCCGTCATTTCTACCTGAAATTAAGCAGCGATCTTGTTTCCTTCACCACGGGAATCATTTTGACGGCGGTGGTTCGCCGCTGGAGACCAGAGACCCGTATCTCCCTCTTTCTACGTGAGACATTCGTGCCGTTGCACTCGAGATATATAGGGGTACCTCGCGCGAGGGGTACCCCGAGGAGGCGCGAGGGATGCGACCGCGGCGGCCATGTTTGTGCCAACGTCGGCTTTCCGTCGGTTTTCCGAATCCCCGAAACACCCTATTGATTGCCCCACGAGCTTCGCAGAACCGAGAGCTAGCACACCGGTCACCTCCCGTACCTCCTCGCTTTACCCCGCGCCGCTTCTACTCTCTTTCCCCGTCCACCTTCTCGCTCGCGGCATTAGGAATGGCGAACACGCCGCCGTGCAGAGGCTACGTGAGCGGCATGCGACCACCTCCACCCGCCGCCATCCACCCAACCTTCCCCCCTTCTATGTCATGCTCACCGTCGTGCCAGCCAGTATGGCCGCCAACTCGCACAACCTTCTCCTCTTTTCCTCCCTTGACCTCTCCTCCTTATTCTTCTACAACGCTATCAACTTTTCCTTCTCCTCCTCCTCCTCCTCTTTCGCTACCTCCGCCACCATCGCCACCACTGCCGCGGCTGCCGCCGCCTCCGCTCTGCCAGCATCACCAACCACCACCACTTCAACGTTTCAACATTTCTCCTTCTCTTCCGTCAACTTTTTCCTTCTCCCCCGTTGCCTTTAAACCTTTCTACTATCTCTGGCCTTCCGGCTGACGATACACGCTGCACCCGCGTTGGCGCGCCCGCCTTGCTTTTTATTCGCTTTCGCTTTCTCGTTATCGTTATCACTTTTCTCCTACGCGTACCCCCTTAACCCGATCACCCCCAACCTCCGGTCGCTCCGTCGACATCTCGCTGCGGCGAGCCACCAGCTTACCTGTGAGAGGCCGAGATATATCGAAACGGTCTCGGATATGTACAGGAATCTGCCATCCGCCGCGACAGCCATCGCGAAGCCGTCCAGGGACTGGCGACAGAAAATACGAGACACTTGAGAAACTCTGGATCGGATATTCCCGAACTCTTATACAAAAATAAATTTCCAACATTTATACGGTCTCGCGAGGAATGTCGACAATATTATTATGCGATACGAATTACTTTCTCTTAGATTGATGCAAAAGATTTTGTCGCTCCTCTCTAAAAGTTATCGATTTTCATTCTAAGATTCTCGGAATTTTTTTAATCATACGTGTAAAATCTTGTTTCCAAATAAAAAAAATTTATTAAAGTCAACAATGATTATTTTAGACTATAAAAATTCATGTAAAATTCTGCGATTCTGGGAATACGACGAACCTTTTACACCGATTTAATACATAAAATAGATTTAAACTCGATGATAGATTTGTAGAATTTCAATTAAAGGAATTAAAACGCTTGCGGTGTACAATTAATGCGACTCGAATCATTAAAATGTATTAAAATCAATAGCAGCGGAGTATTATAGTAATGAAATAAGAAAGCAAGCTTACCTGTAATATATGGGTACCTTGATGAATTTCGAAATGATCTATCGCTGTAGATGTAGACGATCTGACTCGATTAGCACCTGCGAATGAACACAACATTGAGAACACCGCGCCTAACGTAGAAATATATAAGTGCTGCGTAATTATTACTCTTGATTTCTCAGAAGAATTTATAATTCTTTCGAATGAGCGTTACAAGGAGAAAATTTTATATAAAAAATTACTATGATACGACAGTAGCCGTAATTATAAGTTTAAATACTATGGCCATTACATGAAAAACATAGTACAAGTTTTTATAATTCCGTCCGTGGCTACTGCCGTACACAGTTATTTTTTATACAAAAATTTCCGCGTGTAGTAACACAGTGCCGAACAATTAAATCGACATCGATTTTTCGCGACATTTCCCCGTGCAACAATTTCGGAGTGTCCCTTCGGTGGAAACAATCGTCGCATTCAATTTTATTATCGTCAGGCGAAAATTCAAGACCCTTTTGAATATGTATTAGTAACGCGAAGCTGAATAGCTGCAACGAGTCCGCATATACTCATCGAAAAAGGTGGAGAAGGTATCCTCGATTGATCAGCGATACGTGATTCACGCGATACGTACGCCGCCGCCGAGTTAAGGCATCAGCTTCGACCCCTTTTGCGCCTTCTTTTCTCCCCTCGTTTAACAAACACAAGACGGGCTACTTCTTACCGTAATAATAATCCCACGCTCCCCAGTAGCTTCGTAATGAAAGACTTAGAAGACTCGATCAAACTTGCGCTCGAACCGCTTAATCTCGTAAGTCCATCGGGATGAGACGGAATAGCTCGACTCGTCGGACTGACCCCAGTTTGGGTTTTTCGGTCAACAAGGTAATGCCGATATTTCCTACTGTATAAAGCTGGACGCCGGAATAATCTAACTGGATTTCGTCTTGACGAACGCCTTTGTTCTCCCAATTATATTGCCCCTTTCGCCAATACTTTCACGCGTTATCTTGATCTTTACGGATGCACGAAACGAATTGTTGGAATAATTAACGCCCGCATCACGGAAAATTCTTGAACTTAATCGATCGAAACATTTTTTAGATCACAGTGAATTGTCATCAGAAAAATTACACTCGCCCTCGTCGCCCGGTCGGCCCTCGCGCTCATATGTCCATCCGCTCCCGCCATTTATCACAATATTTTGATAAATATAACTTGACGGTGTTCGCAGGCGGCTAGAAAAATATCGGCGTCGGTATTTCTGAGCAAATGTTATGTAATTATTGTACAGAGGAGCTGTCAATCGATTATTCGGGAGGGTGTGCATCCCGCCGAGCATCCTGCCGAATCAGCCGAGAGCTCCTGTCTCGAAATCTCGAGTCATTTTACTCGGTTAAGTCGAGAGGTTCTCGCTCTGGCCCTGACATGCGGCGCGAATAGAAGAGGGGGCGCACTGGATTTAGTTTGACGAGGAGTTGCGGCGGCGATGCGCGGCAACCTAACTCAATTTCGTTAGTTTAGTTACATTGGCGGTTGGTAACGCGAAGCTCGCGCATAGGGGTTGTCGTGATTAGATTTTCATGGGGATAGTGGTGGATGTACCTAAGCCTTTATACGTACCCACGTACGTGCAAAACCTCTTTCTATCTTTCCGCGACCCTCCCGCACTGTAAATATTAACTCAAGTCAGACCCCTTGCATTCTGAGAATACGCGCTTACCACGACACGTGAAGTTTCTCGATAGCTCCGGCGATTTTCACGGAGAAAAGTCTCGCATTTTTTTTTATTACCGTTCGACTATTAGCCTGATCTTTCTTGGAGCGCGTTTCAACTAACGAAGCGAAAATAAGCTGCCTCCCTCTTCTCGCCAAATGAAGCACGAAAATGAAAGAGACCCGCGGCGATCCTATCGCTCGATGATTGTCGACAATTCTCTATTACTATGTATCTAGAAATCTCGCCGGCTGCATGGTCAGCCGGAGAATTATAAAGGATATCTGAAAGTTCGATCTATTGCCCACGAGCTTGCGTGTTTCGTTAAGGAAGCTATTGTCCGATCTTTCTTGTTTCACATTTTGCTACACAAAATTATTTCATCGGGCCAAATACTGGTCGGAGATCGCAATGTCGGAAAGCGTGTGTTGCGCGAAAAAATTCCTCATCTCGAGGCACATTTTGACAAATCGAATTGCAATAAGCGTCGCGACACGTCGATTCTGTCTGAAAATAAGAGACACGTGTCTGCCGAAAAGACATCATTCGCAATCGGAGACAGGCGGAACGTCTGCTAGCTTTAACGCGATTATGATACAGCCTCTCGGCTTCTTTCTTACTTCTGTCGCTATTTTTGATTTTACTTCCATCAATCATGATCAACGGACATTTATTCAACTCCAAAATATCAAGTTCTTGGTACACAGTGTCTCGAGAAGTATAAAATAATTTATATATGGCATGCACGACAAAATATGACGATGCATTTCGCACATGTCTGACACAATAGCAGTCTACTCTACTGCAGACGACGCGAACGTAAAGGAATTATAATGCGGCTGACTTCCTCTCTTATTCTTATCCCTAGAGAGAAAGTTCGGTCCACGGAATATGGGTCCTGATCCCTATTAACAGTCCGAATGACTCCCCCTTTCCGAGGTTAAACGCTGATCCATCAAGAGACATCATCGGCAGATACATCTTTATCGAGCCGAGCGACCGAATTATGTTTACCGAAATAAATTGCAACAAAATATTCAATATTACATATCATAAGAATTATGCAACGACAAAAAAAAGGAACAAATAAAATCTTACATTACGTCCAAATGACAGATTTACAAAAATTTGAATCGAGTATTTGATGCAAACTATAGAAATCAGAATTAATTTCTCGTGGCGAAATGTGCGACTTTACGTTTATCGAAATAAATTGTAACAAAATATCCGAGATCGTAATAATTATACGACAGAAACAAGAACAAATGAAATTATATCCAAACGACGTATCTATAAGAAACTAAAATTGCGAATTTAATGTAAGATCAGAATTCATTTTCCTTTTGTGAGGTGAAATGTGCGATTTTACGTTAACTTACCTTTGACAGATTTGCTGGGCGGTGGACCATCGCGAGTCCAAGGTGGATCGCCGTGACTGGAGAAGTCGCGAAGCTTGAGATACGAAATTGTTAATCTTATTATGGAGGCTTTGTCCAACTGGGAGGTGATGGCCGCCGGTAGAGGAAGCATTTTCGCGAGCTCGTAGAACTCGTAGTTCTCTTTACCCCGTCGCGACCTCGCCGCGTCTCTGCTCTTCTCCTTGCGCAGCTCCAAGATACTGTAATACAAATAACGCACTTGGTTAGAGCGACGAAGCAGCGCTCCTTCAGATTACAATCTACGCAGTTATGGATTGCAAATCGCACGTACAGAGTGTCCCCAGAGAAATCTCAAATAATTCCGGATGTAAACGCTCAATCCTTTAACCAATTGCGAGCACACCGGAGTACAGATAATGCTTACCACTTTTACAACCGGGCTTAGTTTCACCGGGCTCGGGACTATTGGTTAAAGAATTAACAGATGAATAAACGTTACAGAGAGCGCTCGATCGTAACGTTGTGCATTCGGCGATAAGATGGCGATAGAAAAAGACGGCGATCGATCCGCAAATTCGCTCCAACTTCCTGTTCGCGCTCCTTTTACGGATCTTCGCCGTTCATCGCGACGATGTCTGTTAATGGCGAGGTGTACATAGAGGCGGACGTTATTTCGCGCAAATGCGGCGGCGAGGCTCAAATTATGCGGTCGCACAAATAGGTATAAAGGAGGAGAGGCGTGGCGATGTGTCGTAGCGCGGCTACCGCTTAAACGGCATACATTATTCAAACGCTATGAAGCCCATGTTTACTGACAAGCCGGCGAGTGTATCCGCGAGTGAACATCGACGTAACGTAACCACGCCCAATGGACAGCCCCTCGGTACCGGTTTTACATTTAAACTGTAAACGCCGACCAATGGAACGGCGGTGCGCGTTGCGCGAAATCTATCCGCTTCTTGGTGCCTCTTGGTCATTAACCTTTCATTAATCGGGCGAATCGTTTGTCGGACTTGGCGCGAGTAGACACTTCGCGTTGAAGCGCTTTTTTTCCCGGATGTCGCGCGCAGAGATTCTGTTCGATTGCAATTGAACATTCTTTTGCGACAAAAAATGCGAGGTGAAAATCATTAACATTTTCGAAAGAAGACATTTCACGCGACGATGCTAATTTTCGTGCGCAGCTAACTCTTTTTACCCGGAGAGCGATTCGGTATGCGTGAATCGAAAGGCGCGTAATACTCCGTGAAATCTGTCCCCAGAAAGTCATCAGAGTTAAGAGTTCCGTCCATTTAACTAACTTCCGCCGTTTCGGACGGTGGAAAACAGGCGCGGCGGAAGGTTCGGTGGTTTGAAGCCGAAATGATTCGAAACGCGATGGGATTTTTATTCGCTCGCTATTGCGCTTAACGACTGTAAAACGCCCGGCGCTCTTCCCTATCGGGTTTGTCCCTCCCTCGCGCGCGATGTGCCAACACGATGGTAACCCATTATGACCATTCTCGCTGCCGCCCGAACGGGGATCGGAAGTCGTAAAAACGAAAGAAAGGGGAGAGAGGAAAGAGCATCCCCGGCATAAGCCGCCACCGTGTCAGAATCTTGTTTTGGCATTTTACAGGCATTCCGCGACACTCGATCCCCTGGCAAAGTTTCGCTTACTTACGAGACGGGTGTTCGTTCTCGTCCCAAAGGGATAATGACAGATTCTTCCCTTCTGCAGCGTTCATCAAATGATAGAGTACATACCTTTATATTTTCGAGCGCACGCTAAACTTGAACGTGCGCTAACCGCATTTAAATCGTACACGGCTTTCTATAGATTTTACATTTCTAAGATTAAAAAGGCTCTCCAACGATTTCAAAAACCGATTATAAAAAAACTAAAAAAGCTTAAAAGCTAGCAGAACTATCTTCGGTGTTTTGAAAGGTTTATATTTCTTTATTTTATACTTATTGATGGAAAAAAATCGCTTTTCTTCAGAAAAATGCTAAATTAGGACGATTAAAAGCTAACATTTCCGCCGACAGTTGAGCAAAGATAAAGGATACAAGAGAAGAAGGGAGGTTCCTTTTTTTTCTTTGACCGTGCCGAATCCATTCCCCAGGAGGAACGGAATTTAGCCGGAGAAAAGCTAAGCCTAAGCACACGAAGCAGCTGCCCTCGTACAGCCCGATCGTTCGGCCGGTCCGTGCGCGGCAAAGCGTCTGCAGACGTGTGAAAATAAAATTACGCCCAACTTTCGGTCAAATTGGTTGGAATTGGGCAGCGACGGTGGTGAGGGCTCGTGAGTCCCGAGAGTCCCGCGGGACCGGAGATAGTGGTCCCTCGCGTAACCATCGCCGGTATCCTTAGCGATCCTCAAGAAGACTGCCGGGCGCGCTGCGCTCCTCACGCCTTCTAAGTGCTGCCCATCAATAATTCAGCAGAGAACTATGACGAGCGACCCTCGGATATATTCGCAACCCTCCCTCCTTCGTTTCTCGCGACTCTGATCGTCGAATTGCTACCGCTTGGAAGTACGAAAAATGGCAGCTGCGCGTAATAATCGACCAGATTACCGAGCTGATAACATCGTTTTCCTATGCCGATGGAATTCGTGACGCGAGAACCCTCCATCTCGATTCACGAACACGCGAAATCTTTTTAATCCGAAGCAAGCTCGTTGATTTGACGCTTACATTAATAACAAACCAAATACGATTTTTAAATTTTAGACGAATTTTTCGAACATTAATAGTCTCTCGAGAAATAACAATCTTTAATTCGTTGCTTTCGCAATTTAAAACAACTTCCAGCAGTATTACAAGTGCTTCATGATTTTCACGATTTTATAACGCAAAGCAAAATTGAAAAGCACGATTCTATAAATATAAAATATACCTGCTACGAGAATTATCTGCTCTGCATATAATCGCACCGTTATAAGAATAATATAATTATCACGCAGTAGGCAATCGCACGGGAATGCTTGCAGCCCCTTTGCAATTCCAGGCAACGATCGTTTCCGAGCTTTCCGATATGATTTCTCGGTGACGAAGGCGGGAAGGCGGGAACGATATTGGCAACCGTAGAAATCATAATGCACATCGCGACACGGGCTCATCGACTAATTCAATTAAACGATTCATTTGCCGGTCCGAAGCACCACCTGAGGGTATGTCCCGTTTCATCTGTATTTCCGCATCCGTGTGCCCGCGCCGTCGTGTGCGTGCACGCCGAGGAGGAGCACGAGTCGGAAAAGGACGAACGGACCTTCCAACCTACTCCCAGGAGAGTCGTAGCCTCGCACAACAATACAATGCTCCTAATGTTACGGCTCCAGTTTCGACATAATTTTCTTTCGCGCGCCCCGTCGGTCGAAGGGGGTGGACGGCTATCGAATGCCCGGGCTTTTGTACCGTTTGGGCGAGAAATGTCATTTCCGCTGACCGTCTGATAACGAGGAGCGCGGAATAAGTTTTACGGTGCCGCGCCGCGATTAGATTCGAGACCGGCGTCATAAACGTCGCTTCTCGATTAGAGGACGTGTGTCGTGGAAACAGTCGAGCGCGGTCTGCGAACTTTAAAATTCAATCCGACAGTTAACTGGACGAAGAAAATGGTCTTGAAAAAAAAAAAAGAACGGCGACGATCTGACAAACTCTTTCGCAAAGTCGCTGAAAAGTATTGCGACCACTTGTCTTAGTCGCTTATATTTTTATTCCATGTCATGAATAATTCACGATACATCCCTCGCTTCTAGTGGACCAACGCACAGTCCGATTTCATTCATGATGCAATGCTTGAATCATGTCGGGTTTTATAAGCGAGCGCGAAGGAGATAATGTTGCGCGTGTAAATTCGCGGTGTTGCGCAATCGCGCACTAAGGCTAAGTTTAGAAATATTTCATTGTCGAATGACGCGAGCCGAGCGAGGATCGTTTGCGTCCAAACAATTTTTACAGTCGTACGTGATTTTCAACTTTGCGACAATCAACACTTTCGGCGAGAATAATTCATCGTTATACCGTCAGGACTACTGTGCATTCTAATGCATCGCGATGCGGTGGACGACTCAAGCGAGGAAACGCTTCCCGTGGAACACGGGGCGGGATCTGAATGAAAGCGGATAAACCAAAAAAAAAAAGAAAAAGAAGAAAAAAAGAGAGGAATAACGCCGGCACTAAAGCAGCTCGCTGCATCCGCGGACGTAAATCACGGCTGCCGCACGCATGCATGCATGCGCTACACACCTACAATAAAACGGAAAAAAAGGAAAAGGGGAAAAAATGAAAGAGAGTCGGAGACGCGATGTGCGCGACAGCGTGAGGGCGGGAGGGCGAGAGAGCGGGTAGATAGAGAGACGGAGGGAAGTTGGCTCCTGATGACGCGCAGATAAGGGAGGGCTTAAAGTCTACGTGATGAGCTTCCCGATGCGGAGGAGCGGAGGTCGAGCCTGAGAACTTTCGGTAAATGCACTTGTAAGAGCTGTTTCTTCTTTCCTTTACATTTTGGACGCGACCCCAAACTCTCCCCCGATATCAAATCTAGTTTACAACGTAAGACGCGTCGCTGTGGTTTTTCTTTACATTAATATCCTCTTTAATACCCGGTTATTGTTGACTCG